CTGGCTTATTATTTTTTTCACCAAATGAAGTCGAGTGAACTTCCGTTTCACTTGAATTGTTTCAAAAAAGTATTTCTCTCGCTTAGTTAGGTAATGTCACCAATATTAAGTACAGTATTACCGAAAGTCTTTCCATTCCCATATTCTTCCGGTCACTGTTGAAATAGCTGATGGAAATCACTGAGTGATCAGTTTAATGGAAATTAAGTTTACTGAAAACGAAGAAATCACGAAACTACTGCTGGACATTCCGCATGTTTAGCTGTTTATAAGCTGGAAAGGGGAGCTTAGTACAGCAGTGATAACTGATTTGGAGAAACTTTAAACATTTTGTTCAGCTTTGTCGCCGCACCTTTTTGTTTGCCTTTTCATGCATCTAATGGCGATTCTGTTTGTTTGACACACGAACTGGCCTCGAACAGTTCGTGGTGTGCAGTTTGTTTATGCCCATGATAGGCGTTATTTTTCCTGATAAAATTTTTTCTTTGTTTTGGTCTTTTGTAGCACACAGAGGAACAGAGCTGGATTTCCGAATGCCCCTTTTTTAGCGAAAATTTGCATCCCTGGGCTCAGCTCGCCGCAGTGATCTCTCATTGAATGAGTGCTTTTCCCATCTTAACAGCGAAAGGGCAAGGAAGAAAATTTGTTCGCTTACTAAATGCATTACACAGTACGTTCATAATGCATGAATTTGCCAGATCTGGTCGTTGTTTCTTGATGGTGACAGCGAGGCGATGCAGGAAGCTCAAGACCTGAGGGCACTTACGCTAATATCTGCTTATTGTTCTTGAGTGAGGACAGTGATCATTAGCGGATCCAGGACCAGCAGCACGGGTAGCAGTTGTTTTACTATAGAAAACTCTCTTCGATATCCCCTGTTGCCTCTCCCACCTCCAAGGAATCCGTCCTGATTCCGCCTGTGACAGAAATCCAGATGTCGACATCCGGGATGTATCTGAACCGTCAGCTTAAGAAGAGAGGAAGAGAGACAGATTAGGCGGGGAAGGGCGATTCAAATGGGAGAGGGGGTAGTGGTAGCGGAAAAATCAGCTATGACCTGCAAGAAATCTGCAAGAAATCATAAACGCAGGTGCAAATCAAGAAATATTCGTGGATCTTTTGGCTTTTGCCTTGGACGGTTGACGGAGGAACTAGTTCTCCAGGATTGCTTTCAAGGGTAGATTGTGACGCCTATAGAAGCAAGGCGGCATTTCTGTCTTCTGTGCTCAATAGATCCGGAATTTTTACTGTCCCCCCACTTACCAGTCTTTGTTCTATAAAATATGAAGAGGTGATCCTGACATGTGCCCACTGCTCAGTGTCCAGAAAATTTATCCACCAGAAATATATGGTACATGAAAGAGCGAAGAGCGATTGTTGCTTATTATGATACGATATAATAATATGAGTGCAGTAATGGATAGGCATATTTGTGGATAATGATGAGTGGTGTCGCTGTGGGCACTGGCGATATTCCTAATTACAACAATCGATGAATGCATGAACAATTGAAGACTAAGTAAAAAAAAAAAAACGGTGCGAAACAAGCTGGCTTGGATGAAAATGCGCTCAACGGCTGCCTCCTGCAGCAACTGGCAGAATGATTATTACTTTCTGTGCTTGCGCTTTTTCAAATTTGCAGTTTGCGAGTACTGGAATTCTACCATAGTAATGAAGAAAACTGGGATTTTCTCGAATAATGCTGGAAAACCGGAGTTTTCACAGGGTGGTAAAGAAATCGGAATTTCCTCAGGGCAATTAAAAAACCGGATTAAATTCAACCGGAAGCTACTAAATTAAGTTGGATGATGCTGAACTGGTGTCGATAGGCAATGCGATTAATTAAAAGTGCTAAGTGCAGAAAATAAACTGAATCCTAATCTAATAATAAAAAGCGGTCTTGGACCAAATCATAATTTCTAAAAAAAGTTGTTTTTTTTTTGTTTTTTGATAGCTAAGAGAAAATCGCTTCTCTTCTCTTCGGATTGCGAAAACTCTCGTTTCCGGATCCCGAGATACGCGATTTTTTATTTGTGCGATAAAAAGGGCCTTCTGCGCTGGATCATAAAAATATTCCTAAAATCCTGATAAATGTGACAAAAGAAAGGAATGAAAGACGATAAGTTTGCGCGGAAGAATTCTACTTCAGGCGCTCTGGCAGTTTGGTAGCGAGTAATTCCTCGGTGAGAAGCTCCAATTCCATGTTCACTAAACTTTCCAGATATGTGTTGGTGGCTTTGTAAAGCGACCACAGTACCGAGAGTGCATGTCCGAATCGCACTGGACCGTGCTTCTCGTGCCTGTAAGTATCGTTTGCTATGAACTACAGAGAAACAATTACATTCAGGCCTTTTCAGGATTAAATAGGTAACAATGGATACTTGGACATCATGTAGTTGAAGAGTGTGTCAAGTATGAGCTGTCGTTGGTGTGTGAGCTGTTCACAGCTGCTCGGTGACAGGCCAAAGCATTCTGCAAATTTTCAAATTTAGTTGTGCTTTTCGAAGCTTTTTTTCTACAATCCTTTCATCAGAAAAATCGTATTCAGTTAATAAATCGTTCAAAATAAAAATTCGTTTAAAAGAAGTTTTATTTTCGGTTATTTCCCTCCCTGTCTTTTGCATTAATCGCCTTATAAGATAATCGCATCCTTCTTATTAGTTACATTCTTTTAACCTCGCCCGTTTCAAGCTGAGGTCGATGTTCAATTATGCCACAGGGAAAACTAATCCCTCCATGATTTGTTGATTCACTGAATGGTAAGCTGATTATCGCATGATTGTAGCATGAAAGTAATATGAAGAACTTAAAAAAGAAGGCAGGAATAGAACGAACTATGTAATGCAAGATGTACAAATATTGCTGGTACAGGAAAAATAAGTAAGAGAGAGTTAAGACGTTTCGGTCCATGAAGTCATATACGTCTTAGCTCAACACCGCGACTGGACCT